AGGAAAACAATGGCCAGTAATCTGATACTGATAAATGAATGAATATGGTGAGCTCACATAGACTTGGGTGTTGTGCAATAAGTAGAAACTCTTACTAAATATCTCTATATTCACCTAGGGCAGCTGTATGGTTAAGAATTTCTAATAATGTCATAGTTTAGTTAGATTAGAAAGTAATTGGAGAAGATTGTCTAAAGTAGTCATCATTTGATGATTGCTGTAGCGTGATTTAAATTTTTTTTATCTTCCCTAATTTCCATAGTTCTAACAAAGCTCCTATGGATGTTAGAATGAGAAAAATAACAATATGTTTACTATAAAAGAAAGAATTTCTAATAATCTCAATTTCCTCTTCGTTCTGGAGTCAGTTTTACTGTGATCGTAGCTAATCTGTGCTTTAGTTCCTACCCATATAATTATTTTGTCTGTAGGAAAATGTCAGTAGATCTGACAGTTTTAATTCTTGTGTTTACTGACTGCTTTTCCTTCTGAATCATAGGTTCCAAAATGAAGTCAAACAGGTTACAAGACAGAGTACACTTTAGTGTCACACGTACTCTTATCTTAAATGAGTTTGGGAATATATCAAGCACTTTCATAATGATAACTATTTCATTTCTGGCTTCTTGGCTCTCAGTTTTAATAAACCCACATCCTGCTGAGTCTTTTAAGTATTAAAAAAACACTAGGAAGTATATGATGGTAAAACATATGTTTTACTCTTCCCTTTGAGAATTTGCTTAAATTTCTCAAAATTCAGAGTTGAAGTAAATCTGACCATTTGATGCTCATGGACCAGGGTATGCATAATTCAATCGAGAGAAGAAATATATGTTGTATGTCATTGATTTATCCATTTCAGTTGCTATCAATCTCACAGGAGAAGCCAAATAAATGGATTTGGAAAAGAAGAAAAATCAAAAGAGTTGAGAAGTCCAAAAGTCATCAAATCTTCAAGCCATTCAGTGCTTGAGTCTCACCTACTGTCTTTCCTTCCACTTGTATCTGCTCAAACATCCAAGGAAGAAATCTGCTCTTATTCTTTTTTTTTTGGGTCCGGTCGTGGGGCCTGAACTCTGTGCCTGGGCGCTGTCCCTCAGCTCTTCAGCTCAAGGCTAGCACTCTACCACTTGAGCCACAGCGCCACTTCCGGCTTTTTTCTTTTTGCTTATGTGGTGGTGAGGAATCGAACCCAGGGCCTCATGCATGCGAGGCAAGCGCTCCCAGCCCCTGTTCTTATTCTTTTATCTTTGGAGTTAACCCCTGTTCTACATCTTCCTTTTAATATTCATGGGCATCTATTGTTCATCTCCTAAATTTTCTCTTTTCTAGTTTCAACAAAAAAATCCTTTAACTGGTAATTTGAATGGTACAGGTTTAAATCCTCTCTTAGGATCTTGATTGCTCTTGCTGGGGGCAGCATATGCTATGTAAAGATGACACTCAATCTAAAAGGGAGTCCAGAAAGATCTTCCTTGTGGTTTGCCTGTGGAATAGGGACATGGGCCTCAAAGTTCCTTGGGTTTGCCTGTGACATTTCTTAGAACCATATTAAGATCTGAGGAATGTTAGCACTACTGTCTTTTCCAGTTGCAGTTAAAAACGAGTCAACAAAAGAAAGTCTTTCAGATTTAACAACCTCCTCATAGGATTGCTGAAAATTCAAGATTCTGTGAGAAAACATCAATTGATCTACTAATACTGATTGTTTCAGTGTATCTTAAGGGAAGTCGTAGCAATCTGGGCCTTAGAAGTAGCCAAGTAACCATTCCAAAAGCATTTTAGAAATACCTACTAAACTAGAAACTGTCAGGTACTGACAACATAGAGATCAATAAAACATGTCTTCAGCCTTAAGGAATCCACAGATGAGTGGGGAAATTAGCAGTAACCTGTCAATTATGATAATATACTGTGATCAGTACCAGGGTAGAGTCCCGTTCAAGGCACTGAGAATAGAGAATGCCTTGTGGGGAGGCTACTCCAGGCTTGTCTCTCTGTGGTATTTTTGTGGCTTTCCTATATTGCCAATAATACAGTTTCCATAATTACTACATACAGTATTGCTGGAGGCTGCACAAAGGACTTACATATCATCTCATTTCACTTAGACTGCCAACCTCATAGAGGTTCTACAGTGGGAGAAAACAAACATAAATGAACTGATTTGCCTAAGTTTACCATATATAATCAGTCCATAATTTAATCCTAATATATAACCTCTCACCTATGAGAGTCTTTAACAATGATTTCCAAGCAGGATGATTTATTTTTTCCTTAAAAAAAAAAAGGACAGGCAAGCACTAGGTGGCTCATACCTGTAATCCTCACTACTCAGGAGGCTGAGATCTGAGGATCGAGGTTCAAAGTCAGCTGGAGCAGGTCCATGAGATTCTTATCTCCAATAAACTACCAGAAAACTGGAAGTAGTGCTGTGGCTCAAGTGGTAGAGTGCTAGCCTTGACCTGAAGAGTTGAGGGACAGCACCCATGCCCAGAGTTCAAGCCCCACAACCAACAACAACAAAAAAAGACATTGGCATTATCTGCAGACATTTTTAATTGTTTCTGATATCTGATGGATAGAAGTCAAGCTCAGTAATGGTGTCAAATATCCTCCAAAGTACAAGAAAGCTCCCTCCAAAATACAAGAAAGCTCCCTCCAAAATTACCCAGGCTAAATAAGCTATTAATAGAGAGAAGCCCTAATAGGACTTTGGGGCTACTTTTTTTTAAGTCACCCCTAGATACTGGTTCTAGGAACCCCCAAATCTATCAAAGTCTACACATGCTCAAGTTTCTTACATAAAATTGTGTTTTTTAAAAAATATATAGCTTGCATAGATCATTTTGTATTTTAAATCAATAGCTAATAAAATGTGAGTGATATAAACTGTTGATATAGTATTTAGGGAATGAGGACAAGAAAGAAAAGTCTGTATAGATTCATTAGTGACTCACTTTTGTTCTCAAATATTTTCAATCTGAGTATGTTTTTTTTTGTAATTGTTTGTTTGTCATGGGACCTGAACTGTGGGTCTGGGTGCTGTCCCTCAGCTCTTCATCTCAAGGCTAGCTCTATACCATTTGAGCCACAGTGTCACTTCTGGCTTTTTTTCTGCTTATGTGGTGCTGAGGAAATGAACTCAGGGCCTCATGCGCGTGAAGCAAGCACTCTACCATTGAGCCACCTTCCCATCCCCTCTGAGTATGTTTGAATTCGTGAATCTGGAAGCAGTGAAAGTATTTGTTTGTTTGTGTACCAGCACTGAGACTTGAACTTTGAGCCCTGTGCTCTTTGCTTGGCTTTTGGCCTAAGGCTAGTACTCTAACATTTGTACCTCTCCTCCACTTCTGGCTGTTTTTGCTGATTAATTGGAGATAAGAGTTTCAAGGATCTGTCTGCCTAGACTGGTTGTGAACCATGGTCCTCCAGCATCCTCAGATCTTAGCCTCTCAGCTAGCTAAGATTGCTGGCAGGAGCCACCAGTGATCAGCTGGTCAGTTTGTTCTGAAAGAAAAGATAATTAATCTAGGGCATAAATGCTGGAGAAAAGCTTTCAGTATCTCAGGAAGTGTGTTTTGTTACTTTGTGTCCCATCCCTAACCTCAAATTCTCAGCTGTAACAGTGGGGAAAATATTATGTCCTTTGTCCCCTGTGCCAGCTGGTAAAAATCTGTGGAAACTATGGAAGAATGTGAGGTTGTGCATAAGAATTATACTCTGACACTCTTAATACTTGGTATGAAAATACTTTTGTGGGCCACAAGCATATTACATCAGATTTAAAGCAGCTAGTTTAATTATTTTTTCTTTACATACTTTTGTACAAGTACTTGTGGTTTGGAGGAGTTATTTAAATACCTTCTTTCAAAATGAACAAGTTTGGCTCATCCTTCCCCTTCATTCTTTCCTTTTCAGACAGATCTAGTCCGTTGGAAGGGAAACTAATTTTATCTAGCACGTGTTCAATCAGTGCCAGACAATATATTTACATGTGATGGTTGACCTTTACCTATCTCTGTCATTCATATCCACGAAACCAAACAAGCGTGCACTACAGTAAATCCATCAAACGGCTGTAAACTCATGAATGTAGTTTTACTGAGGTTTTTCGGTGATGGTGGCTTTGCCTGTGTATGTGTGCTTTTCCTCCACAACAAACAGCGTCATGGTCAAGAGTCACTCACTAGGGACTTCCCTGGGAGGGTTTTAATTGTGCCCTGTCCCGCAGTGAATCACTGATCAGCCTTCAGGTGTGCAGAGCACACACTTGAGCCTGTTCTGGCGTAGCAGCTGGAGTTATTTATTTATTTTGGAGGACGGATCCATTTCAGGCTGAGGATGGGGGAGCAGCGGAGGATGCTCGGTGTCCCACGCCTGCTTCCTGGGCAGCACCCCCACCCGGCTCCCTTGCCCAAGACGCCTCCACTCCAGGTCGGGGTAGCACATAGGGAGCGTCAGACTGGGAAAGTGCCCTGTCTCTCCTTTCCAGCTGGACCCTGGGAGGGTCCACAACGTGTCAGGTTCAAGTGTTCCCATAGGCCAATTTTCTAAAAGTGCTTTTTAAGTTTCCATTCCGCGCCCCCACCCCTTCTAGGAGGGGAGGGCAAGAAGAGCTTTTTCCTATTCAAATTCTTTTCCTTGTATGTAGATACCGAAAGGAAAGGCTACACTGGGCATGTTCGGATGTGAATGGTGTTTTGCTGATAAGCAACAGCCTCCCGGAACTGAAGACTTAAAATAGTCATCCTCCTCCCTCCACCTCCACTCCCCCCTGCAGAGGCTGCAAATGGTATCTGCCAAACAGATGACAAAGTACCTTGGACTGAATCACACAGAGACAGCATTTTGAGCAGAACGCACGGCTAAACTCTTGTAATTACAGTTTATAGCCGGCCAAGGCTCACTAGGAGAGGGCAAACCCAAGAGGAAATAAGTTTCCTGAACCTTTGAGCGATGGCTGTGCATTAATTAAAGGCTAGAATGGGACGGGTAATTCTCAGACATGCTGCAAGTTGTTCTTGAGATCAGAGTTCACATCACGTTTTTCTTTGGAGGGAGCGAGTAGATAATTGGGATTATTATTATTTTTTCTTCTTCTTCTATTTCTTTGATCCTTCTTCTTCGTCTTGGTCTCATGGCCTTGAACCCGCAGTGAATTGAAGAGAGAAAGAAATGGATATGTCTGACCCCAATTTTTGGACTGTGCTCTCAAACTTTACGTTGCCTCACTTGAGGAGTGGAAACAGGCTTCGGCGAACACAAAGGTAAAAAACAAAAAACAAAACCCGCGGTTCCTTTGGTTAGAGAGGGTATGAATGCTTTCTCTGCCCAGAGCTCAGAACCCCCTGGGCAGCTGGGGTTTTGTTATTGGTTAACAATCTGAAAAGTTTATACCTTATTAAATGGGATGGTGGGGAGAGTTATTTCAGGTATTCTGCACTCTGTGAGTCTCTGGGTAATCCTGGTAAATGTGCTCCTGAGTTCCTCTTTGGAAATGTGGGTGATATAAGACTTTTCTTGGGAATAGTGGAGAGAAAAAGGAGAGGGAGAGGAGGAGGCACTTTGTTTCAGTCTGTTCTTTTGATCCAATCGTGTTTATCATTTATCCAGACCTGGGCCTTCTGGTACTCCTGATAGAACCTTTCCAATATTCTTCTCCATAAAGAACTACTTGATCTTTATAAGATGCAGTTGTATGATGCAAAATAACAACAACAACAATAATAATCCATGCTATCCTATTTCCTATGGACTGCTTTTAAAGAGGCAAATCTGTGTTTTAGTCTTTACTGGTTTGCTGTCAGATATTGCTAATGCAGGGCTGGCCTTTTCATTTTGTACTATCTATTTGACAGAACGGGTAGGGGAAACTTTTCAAAGTCACAAAGAACCTCCTGCTTTAGGTTGAAAGGCAGTCGAGCTTAGTTTGTTGACGTTTGGAATGAGAGCATATGATTTTAAGAGGTATTTCTCTTCTCATTTCTGTGGAGAACAGCAAAGTAAGATTGTTGTGGTTTGAGAGGGCTACATCCTCTGAGGTATGTAAATATAGATGCCTTGCTTTTCATCAGAACGCATGAAAGCAACAGTCCAATCAAATAAACAGGATGCCGACTATCAGATTTGGAACTTTGTAATCTCTGTATGCCACTATTCAAAGAATGAAAGAATATGCTTCTTTGAGTTTGGTGACACCTGTAACTATTTGAAGTATAAATGGCAATATGTACCACTTAGAAAAATTTAGTGCATTATTTATTTTTTTCATAATATCTCTTGGATTTTGTAATATGCTCACACACAGTCCTTAGATGTATAAACACTGATCCCATGCTTGTGTGTGTGTGTGAGAGAGAGAGAGACAAAGACAGAGACACAGAGAGAGAAGAAATCTGATAGGGTGTAAAGCCATACTTTTTCATGCAAATTGAACATGATTGACATCACTAAATCCAGATGTCCCTTTTGAGAGATACGGCTCTCCTTTCTCTTCTGATTCTGTGATATATTGCGTTGAGATGATTTACTTTTGGTGAGTTTTATTTTGGTCAGTATTGGTCAGTTTTGTTCAAATTATATCACTCATGTACCAAACCTCCAAAATAACTAGTGAAAGAAAAGGCATGCATCCTGTGTGCCCCTTGTTGTGGTAAATGTGATGGCTTCTCACCTGTTCTGTTTGACATTTCCTAATGGTGTAATCCTGGCTACCATACATCCTCTACTCTTACCTGGGGCCAGTTCTTGAGGAGATAAGGTATCCTGACACTACGTGTCTGAGTCTGAAGAGCAGTTGTAGTCTTTCTTTCCCTTGCCTACCTGTTGGCAGTACTGTATTGCTGATAGTACACTATTGAGAGTCCAGTGCCAGAGGAATTCTCAGTCTGGTCCAGCCCTGGCTGTAGGGCATTATCTGTGCCATCACTCCAATTCAGCAGCTTACATTGGTTCTAAAGTAATGCGGGTTAGGAGAGCTTTCACACCCCAAGCACCAGGCCTCCATCTTTACTTCAGCAAAGCCTACAGGATTTCCCTTCTTTCCTTCTAGTAGTAGAAGTTGTCACAGCCATTGTCTAGGAATTTCTAGAATGCATGGAATTTAGAAATAAATGTTCTAAAGATCATCTCTACCTCTATCCCATCATTGTCCCACTTAATGGCTAGGGATCAGAAGTGTTTCAGATTTCATACTGTTTTCAGAGTTTGGAATATGTGCACATACTCAACTGGCTAAGTATTTCTAATCCCAAAATGCTCCAAAATTGAAAACTTTTTGAGCACATTGTTTTACATTTGGGAGACATTTGGGTTTTGAGTTTTCAGATTAGAATGCTTGGCATGTAGACTTGGAAAGGTGAAGGGCAGGTGCCCCTCTCTGCAGGGTAGTATGTGTGTGTGGCTGTACATCCTGACATTCTATAAGGGTCAATTCTAGCTGTGTTCCTCTTTGAAGTCATGAAGCATACGGTTATATTGTGACTTTTCCTTCTGTACTATTCCTTCACTAACTTCAAACACCTGTATTCTCCAAGTCTCACCCCAGTCCTTACCTGGCTGGTCAGTTTCCCTAGAATTCTATATTTTATAAAGGACATGTTTATTCCCAAGTTGTATTGCCTTTTGCCAGGCTGAGTAAAGTTGTTCCCAGGGTTCAGCTGAGGACATTTTGCCCTTGCCCTCTTTGAGGTCTGTCTTTACCTTTGGAACCTCTCTCTTGCCCAGAACCTATACTTGCTAACTTGCCTGCAAGAAAAGAGGATGAATGATTTCCAGTTTTTACCTTGAATGTCCATTGTAGGAATTGTCAGCATGAAAGTTTTTGGTTTGCTGAACCTCATCTGCCTTTAAGATCCCACATGGCACTATCTTATTACTTTGTTCTGTTATTGAGATGCTCTTCAACTCAAAGTCCTACCTAGCCTATTAGTCCTTGTGTTCTGGGGTTAAGGAATCTATAGATGTTCATTAGGCCTAGATGTTCAGGACTGTAGAGTATTATAAAGATGGCATATTTGGGGAGGAAAGGAATGGTAGGGGAAAAACAAAAGAAGGGGTAAACAATGTCTGATAGGAAATGGACTCATTATCTTGCTCCTATAACTGTAACCCTTCTGTACAGTATCTTTACGATAAAAATATATATTTAAAAAAAGATGGCATATTGTACCCGCTCTTCTTTTTTTTCTGTCGTATGCACAGTGTGAATGCATGCTGGCTTATATCTGCTATTTTGATGTACAGCTCAGATATGCTATTGGAAAATGTTTCCTTTTTGTAACTACCTTTACTTTTCTCTCACCATTCACTTTCTGCTTTTAGGCACAGAGCTCTGGATTTCATAGACTCATCCATTTTTTAAAAAAATTTACACTTAAGTGAAAGTTGCATGTAATAGAAGCTTTGTAGATTCATGGATATTGTATTTTTTGATAATTCCCTAGCAATATTGGCAAGCAGTTGGCCTATATTCATGTCACTGTGTGTATACATGTATGTACACACACATACTTTATTTATTATTTTTATTTAAATCAATACAGCCTTAAATCAGTATGACCCTCATCTATGCCAATGAGCAGTTTGTGACTTAGTTGCTTATTTGGGCCAAATTTCTGAACTTATTTTTCTGAGAACTCCAGATTCTGAGACCCAATATGTAAAGAAAGATTCTTAAATTAACTGCTGTGGCTGGGAGAATATATTGAATTTTCACGTTCACTTTATCCTTCCTTTAAAACATCTGTAGTGTATGATGAGTTTTTCTGTTTGTTTTGTTATGAACATATGAGGATAACAAATAGATTTCTCCCCTGCGTTGGCCCTCTGGGTGTCAGGAAACTTGTATTCACTCTTTTCACGCAATGTCTACTTAAATCCACATTTGTTAAGTCTCTGTTGCACACCTGGGCACTGTGACCCGTCACCGAAAGCCATAGGCTTTCAATGGAACATGGAGATGAATCACAATGCATACTAGGTCAATGGAGAAGTATTTACGAGCTATGTATATGCTGTAGGAGTTGTCCAGGCAAGAGAAGCAGGTTTCAGGTAGCCAAGGAGAGGCACCATGTAGAAAAACCAAATCTCAGAAGGCCTTGAAAGAATGGTTTGTGTTATCAGACAGGACAAGGCTTCCCCACAGGGCAGAGAAACAGTATATTCAAAGGATGATGACAATGCCAGTGGAGTTCAAGGAAGTCTACATAGCTGAGTGTTGCTGGAGCAGAAGGAACCAGAGCATAGCTCAGTGTTGCTGGAGCAGAACATGAAGAGGCCATGCAGGCAGTGCAAAGTGGTTAGGAAAGTTGACCTGGAGCCAGCTCAGAATCTTTACTCTGCTGTTAGGTAAGTTAGCTTCTGTGGACTTTGGTTGTTCCATCTGTGAGCTGGGGATAAGTAAACTACTTACTGGATTGTTGAGAAGATTCAAATGCATTCCTATGTGTAAGTTGATTAATGTGATGACTGGCATATAAAAACTCTGAATAAATTTTAGCTGTTTCATTACAGCTTCCTTTCAACAGGAGATGAGTAGGGGGGTGATGAGGCTGAGAAGGGGAGCTGAGGGCCTTTGCCCTTTCTCCCGTGGAGGAGGGAGCTGCTAGTGGCCCTGGGCAGTTCGAGCCTTGGAGTAGGATGAGACTTCACCGGCAATCAGCAAGTCATTGAAATAGCCCAGCTGAAAGATTTTTATAGGCCTCCACAAAGAATGTGACGAGCTAGAAAAATTAAGGATGTAAAATTGACAGAAGCGGATGACCCATGGACCCTTAAGAACAAAGGAAGATTCTATGATGGCCCTAAGTTTTTGACTTGGGGAACCAGGGAAGTAGAGGAAGCACTTATCTGAATACGCATGGGGGAGTAGAAGAGATGGGAACCTGTACTTTCTCCTTTGTTTTCCAAACACTTTTAAATAAATGTACATGGTTAAGTATCCCCAGGATGCGCTGAGCATCCTGGGAAACTTATTCCTTCATCTAGACCATGCTGGGCAAGGGATACAGAGGCAAACAATGCAGAGTGCTTGGGCCTCACCAGTGAACAAGTATCTAACTAAGTCAATTGCCAAACTGAGATCAATATTCTGACAGATGTGAGCAAGAGCAGAGCAGAGAGTTGCCTTGTGGGTGTAAGGTGAGAGCTGCTTTAATGTGGTCAGGGGAGGAGGTCTTTCCAAAGACCAGTTGCTCATACTTGTAATCCTAGCTACTGGGGAATCTGAGAGCTGAGGAACACCATTTAAAGCCAGCCCAGGCAACAA